GGTGAGGCTAGTACTCGGTGAATAGGAGACTCGAATGGGAAGACCGGAAGATTTGGGCTAATTTCGAAGGTTTAGGAGAGGCTGTGTCGTTTCTGGGACGCAGGGTGAAAAGGAAATGAGCAAAAAACCAGCGCTCGCGGGAGGCTTTACATCAGAATGTGTCCTTTGGTCCTTTGAGGGAGGGATTTTGAGGATTGCTCGCTTGACGTGTTCTTCGTTGGGAAACGAAGGCCTTTCCTTGGGTGAGAATCGGTAGGGCAGAAAGGGCATTTCGGGATATTTTCTTCTTATGGCAGGAGTCAGAGAGGGTCGGAGTGCATGGCATACCCGTCTCAAGCGCGTCCAGGTATTGGGCGGTTCGTTTTCGCTCTTCGAGGCGAAACGCGAGATTGGGCGAAGCACGTTTTCGTCGTTTCGGGCTTGCAGAATGGGGATTTTTTTTTCTGGATGACAGGGTTTTCTATTAACGTCTCGGAATGTCAGGAAAAGGAAACCCCGGGAACCGAAAATTCATGCAGCGTGTTGGGTGCTAGCACATGAGAGATATGCGCGGTTTCCAGAGTATTGAAACAAGAAGGAAACGACACTCAAATCGCGTGATTCCGTTGCACCGTTTAACCGTTCAAGTATTTGGACGAGCACTTTTTTTTCCGATGTGCTCGGTTCTACAGAGAAGCACGTCTTGCCCAATATTCATTCCCCGTTCAGCGATTTCAAGAGCATCAAAATCGATGCAGGAATCTGCGAAAGCTATCTGAGGCACTTTCCTCGCTCGGGTTCAAGACAGCGAGGAAATTGCACGACAATTGGCAGGGGATTGGCGCCTACCAATGATTTAATCGGTGTTCCAAACTCCTGTGTGGTATCGGATATCATGATTTCGAGGTGAACTTACCCACCTTGGGATTAGTTGAATTCACATTCCCTGCACCATGAAGGGGAAAAGTGAAATTTGTTTCCTTCAAGACGCCGAGTCTTGAATCCTATTTTTTCGTGTGCGGACATGGACGAAAGCAAATTGCTTTTCCCGGCATTGCAATCACTTTTCGCAGGACAGCACAAGGATGGGTTCGGGGGGTTTCAACTCACCCCCCCCCATCCCGAAGGCGTATAGAGGGGAGGAGTGAGTGGGTCCCTTATGATTGCAGCAGACATATTTTTGCTGCCAGTGGGGCACTTCCCCTTCCCCCCCTCCCCCTCCCCCACCTCCCGGCCTTCTAGCCTTGGCAGTCCCAAAAATCTCTTTTCATCTTATTGCTGCACTGATGGTGGCGGGCAGAGAGCAAGCGTTGACGAACATCTCCCTCCCCCAAAACTCAAGTCGAGTTGCGGTGCTGGCCCTCGCTTTCCTCAATTTCATCTCAAGTGTTCCGGTGGCTGTGAAGGGTTGCGATGCGGATGTGGATGAAATTTGCCATGCATTCTCCTTATTGAGAAATGAACATCCGCCGATTTTTTTTTCCAGAGCTGACACCTTTGGTTTTCGAGGCATGGCGTCACAAAATCATGATTTCTGTGGGATGCCAAAATAAATATTTTCAACATAAGATGCTTCATATCTCAGGAACCATTTGAGCTATGCTAATGTTCTTCAGCTCGTTCACTATCTCTCATTAAAGGCACTCTCACTGCGGAAACTATCATATGATCATCGACCATGCTTTTCATTAAAAAAAAATCATTAAAATGTTTATTTCCACAAAGGAAGTATCACAAGTGCTCAATCAATTCAAAGACAATGACAAAAAACGGAGTCACGGTCCAAGAACTGGGTTCACGTGAGAGAGCTGGCGTCGCGTCTCCAGAGCGAGAGCGGCTCCACCAGTTAGGGAGGGACTGAATTTTCTAAAAATTTCGATAAAGATCTGCCGTGAGGCATCTCCAACATTATTGAATGACGTCATTTAAGGCGAATCCAGAGAGAGATTAAGAGGCGACGCTGCTGCAGACACTTCCACGGTGCAGCACTATTCTTGTCTACAGTTTTAGGCATTTTCATCTCGTGTCAGGCTTGGTTTCTTTTTATAATTGGATCTACTTGAATGATCATCTGATCCGATCTGAGATGATCCATTCCCCCTGGAGACAGGAGCAAGGAATTTCCTTTAACTAAAGAATGAGAGGCGTGAGGCGAAGGCACAAAACAAGAAATTCGGTCGTCCAATAGTCCCACAAGACCAAGACAAAAGTTTTTACTCCTCTAATCACACTTGACGAATCTAGAGCTCCTTCACGAGCGATGGGAAGGAATAGCTTGACTCAGCCAGTCTCCCCTTAATTTTTAAATAAATGAGGTGGATAGGTGATTTCAAATGCACGAAGATTAGAGGTGGTGAGGAATTTCACCCCTCACTCATGTGATACACCTCTCCACCAATTAAGAGGCTAAAGATTTGGTTGTAACAAGCTAGAATGAGCAACTCCGACATTGTGGGCATGTCAGTTCGTTTCCGCAATCCGAGTGGAGATTGTCGCGAAACATTTCCTGGAGGTGGAGGAGAGACTTGAGCGGCACAAAATTTTGAGATGCGTGATTCGCCCTTCCCGTTTGTTAGTTGAGAGACAGGAGCCGCGATGCGGATATGGGGTGATTCGAAAGTTCATTCTTGTACTGCGAGTGATTTTGGCAAAGAAATTCTGATCGTTCGAAGGATGACTCGAGTTTCTTTGTGTCTTCATCGGCGTTTAAACATTTGGTCAATCAGAGGTCAGGCATTAAGGAAAACGATTTTATTCTCAAAGGCATCATATACCATGAACAACTTGACATATCTCATTCATGCCGAGGCTTCCTCAATCAAATACACTCCATAATGCATGATCCACATTTGGAGAAATATATTTAAAATGGAATTAGAAACGTCCAGGAATAGTTTCACCACTCAAAAAATTAATAATATAATCAGGAAGGAAACGTACCCATTCACAAAATCATACAAAACAAAAAATGAAACTATACTCTACTTGGTTTAAGCCAAACCTGATAGAGTCGAGATATGAACACAAGGTGACGTGATGCAACAAGAAAGGATTCAACTCTATCGATGATAGAAGTCGCTGTAGTCTTGCACACGTGGTCAATAGGTGACTGAAAGAGTATCACGCGCTAACAAAAAATCACAATTGTGAACAACTTGGATGTTTGGCAACTGAACTCAACAATGCAGGGATGATCGGAGATCTCAAGGAGAGGTAAAGGCATTTGCATATTATAAATAGAAAAACGGGAAAGGAAAGAGGTGGAACTGCTAGGAACATGGAATCACATGGAACAATGACCTCGGGAAGTGAGAAAGAAAACAGCAGAATCGGGCAACGGCTTAATTTACTTTTTGGAAGTTCTCTCAGAGTGCCTTCATGAGCGGCGAGGCACCGGAATTTAAATTACATTAATATTAAAAAAGGGATGGTAAGATTTGCTTTCACAAAGTCTTCCAGACACAAATTTGTGATTGTCATATCAAGAACCACCCCTAGCATCTGGGAATAGCTATGAAGTAACAGGTCACTGCTCCCACCTGGCCAATGCCAAGCCATACTTTAAGAAATGAATACTGTATGCGCTCCAGCTGAGCTTCCCCTAATAAGACTCTACTAAGCTGCTCATAGAATGCTGGCATGGACCAGAAATGGTCCATGCTTGCATTCTATGCAATGCAAGCAGAATGTGGATGTACCAGAAATGGTCTAATAAAAAAAAGAAAGCAATTTATGCCATCACTATCTGCTCCATGGTACTTCTTCAAAACAGCCAAGTTTTGTTCAAATCTCGAAATGTGGTGAACCTGGTTGGTTTAAAAACATAGGCATACTTGTAAAAAAATATATCTGAAAGTCTCAGAAGCACAAGGGAAAAAAGGAAGACAGAGGCCTACTATACCTATGAGGCATACTTGCTAATTACTGGAATTCTTTCAGCCTCTTTCACTACTTTGAACCCCATATGAGACTTCAATCTCCCTGCCTTTCCTCCACCTCTCAAATTGTCTAAACTTCCCCAGTAACATTCATGCAGTATATTCAAGGGTGGCTTGCTGCAGATCCAGGCCTCCTCTTTGAAAGGATTCCCTTCATTGTGTTTTGAGGAAGAGCATAAACTTGACTATCACCTTACATATCATTACATCTGTACTCAATCAACTTCTTAAAATAGCATCTAAAATTGTCATTACTGACTTTCAGCTGGGTACCACCAAATAGTATGGTACAATGTTTGAAGTGGTTGCCAACACAAATGCTTCAGGAGAATATAATGCATTAAATGATGAAAAGGCCCAAATAGATCATTTTAAATTAGTCCAATGCAATAATTGCCAACACTTATTGACTACATGGACAATCAATCATGAAAAACTACCATTCTACAGCTACAAGCTTGTGTGACAGTCTCCTCAGAGAAAATGATTACTGGGCATCATTATCTAAAGATGTTGAAAGGGTAACAGCAATCATCTCTCATTAAAAAAAAGGCAGGAGAAAAAGGATAATTCCTAGTAAATAAAGAAGAATCTTGGATATTTGCAACTGGATTTGGTGCACATATAGTACAAGTGCAAAATTGCTTCTACAGGCCAAATGGCTCTAAGTATAGAAATCATTGTCCCATATGACTGAATGACAGCACCAGAAAAGCACTTTGCATTACCTCTCCCACTCCATGCTATTGAATCACATGAAACTGATGATTCTCTGTATCCAAGGGCTACATTTTCATTTCCCATTTCAGGGAAAATTTGTCATTCTCTCTGAACAAGCAGATGAATACACAAAAAGAATACATTCAGTCAAACATGTTGCAATCACATTCCTCAATGAGTGAGTCTATCTCTCTAAAATGTAGAAAAGATAATGTAAATCTGGCAACATTTCAGCAGACAATAGGATTGAGCTGAGTGGGATACTTAGAGCACTGAAGAGAAGTGGTTTTTTTTTTTAGAGGTCTAATAGCACTTCAATGTATTGAACTCAGTAGAAAAAGTAAATAAGCATAAAAAGCAGAACCAACCTTCTTGAACGATGTTTATTGAATGGATGAGAAAATGATTTGAATTTTATCATTTTCAAAGCAAAGCCTTTTCAGGTTAAGTTTCCTTTCACTGAATTTCATCATCTTTAGTAACAGTGTCAAATTCTCTCATTAGGGCAATGCCCACGTCTGCTCAATTTGACTAGCATATGAGCAGAAATAGCATCGAAGCAGGTTAAGAACTATGTAAATCAATGATGAAATCCACACTGACATGGAAAACAAAGCCACTCATGAAGAAACTTTTGCAATAAAAAAATGTGATTAATAAAAAAATTTAGAGATTACACTTGACTTAGTATTTCTGCTCATGTTCCCAACATCAGGAATGAGCTCATCCTAGGAGTACTGCACTATGGGTACACATATTTTTCATTGCAGCAATGGCGTAACATTAACAAAGAGATTGAGCTAATTTAAACTGATCAAATAAAAAAGTTATGCTAATGCCTCAACAATGTAGCACTGCTGCAAACTTAAGCAGACCTCTGACCTCATATTACAGTTACTGCAGAAAGGGCCAAACAATTGCTGGTGAGTATGAACACACAGATGGTACTGTTTGGAATTCGTCCTTCCTTTCAAGGGAAAAGGCTGAATAGATGTCCTCCAGAGAGTGATTTGAAGATGCTTCCAATGCTTGGCTCATGTTTGAAAGTGAATATGAGCAGGAGGAAGAAGAAAAGACCTGATTGGTTCTGCAGATATTAATCTGCAAAATAAAAATTTGGATATGTCTGCACTAAAAGGCAAAAATCCATTGCATATGCTATAATCCCAACATATGCAACAAAATGGTCTAAAAATTCTAATCATGGTGCTCACCTGTAAGTAGCCAAGAAAACATGAATATATAACCCCTCAAGATTCCAACAACTCAAACAGGGTAGACCAGACCAAGTTCAAAGACAAATGCTTTTATACTCTTTTTCATTTGAGCTCAACTCAGATAACTCTTGAATGCTTGGTCTTGAACATCCACAATTAGTTAACTAATAATTGGTAAAATCTTCCTTCATGAGACAAAAGCATAAATTGCTGAACTTGCTCCATTCTACCCTGTAATAAGAGGATTGAGAAAGAAGAGTTACAAACTAGGCTTTGGTCCATGCCTGTGTGGAAGGCATCTCTGTAATGGCATACCATACAATATTGTTCCAATTGACTTTATGCTGTAAATCCAGATGCCAGTCCAAACATATAAGATTCTCAAATGGTGGATCAAAATACACTCTATGCTTGAAGGTTTAATGAGACTGAAAGAATGTTTTGGAACAGTGAGATAATGTGATGCAAGTGTAAGATGAGTAAGAAAAACCTCATCAGCTACATTTCAACTTGATGTGATTGAAAAAGGCCATGAGTTTCCTTGATTCATACAAAACAAGGAGAGAAAACAAAAAACATCTTCCTGTGAATGAGATCAATCCTGAAGAAGCTCGACATAATTGGCAGGGAAGAGGCCATATGATCCATCAGGTCCAAGACCTTGCCACCAGCCCTCATGTATCTGATCAATCTGACAGATGATGTCGTCAGGATCGAATGAAAGCTCCGTCTCATCCGCTGTGAAGCCCAGACAACCTGGCATAAACTCTAGAGCAATTTTGAGCAATACAACAAAAAATCAGATCCTCACCTGCTTGATAATCAAACAGAGCCCGTGCTCGGAGTCCCTGTCCCATTGTTCTTTGATATTGCTGCAGGAAACTTGTAGGGCCCTCATATTGCTCAGTAGTATATCCAGTTCCATTGACTGCTTCTGTCCCATTAGTGTGTTCTTCTCTGTTCTCATCAACTACACCTACATTTATAGTGATAAGATACCAGTATGTAAAGGCCAGCATAATTGAACAATGAACCAAGAACTAACACAGAGATCTCCAATTGGCAGCTTGGAAGCAAATCCCAAAGGCCACCTTTGATGCTCCCCTTTTTCATAAGTTTAAATAATTTTTCTTTCACTCTTCTTGGAGGCCAAGCCCATCCAGACATCAGCTAATTATCTTCATAAGGTTGGTCAGGAAGGTGGGTAATCTAATTGCAATGATTTTCATTCTTCCAGCCAATTAGCACAGATTCAAGCAAGCAATTCCACATGCTCTGCACACCATCATCATAACTACTTCTAATTCTTCCTCAGAATGACAATAAATTTTCATGTCCCAAAGTTTAAACTAGAGGTGAAAGCAAGCAGTTCACCTTTGCCCATTTCAAGCACTCTTTTCTTTACCTCTGTGACAAAGCTCCCAATTCACAAATGCAATAACTCTGATTTATACCTCAACCATGCAATACTTTCACAAAAAACTCATATATTAAACAATATTAAACAATAGGAGTTTTAAAATGTCACATTTCTCTGCAGTGGCAAAGTACAAGTTCTCTTTTATGACCAGCAGAACATGCTTGGAAGCACAGTTTGGTGTCTGAACAAGAAATCACTTATGAGAAAGTAGGAAAAACAATTATTTTCAAGGTTCCTGACCACTCTTGCTCATATGATATCCTTGAGATGCAACTCATACACTGAATGATGAAAGTAATCTAATTTGAACTTCATGTTACAGAAAGAATGTGGTTATGTGATATCACAATTTGATCTTTTTTGTGTCTAACAGGTGAATCAAGGTCTTAGCGAGACAGCTCTAACCTTGTTCTGCTGACCTTCCCTATCCATGTCTATATCAAAATAGTCTGTGCATTACTGCATATCTTCATTGCAAAAGATATATATAATAGGGCACACTACTAAAGACATATATTGACTAATATCCCAGTCAACCCTAATGGTTGTAACAATAATTCCACATCTACCAGGTCACCAAATATGACAGCCACCAATGAGTTACCAAGAAGCTACCAAATACCCATACAGACTCCAGCCAACTCCTACATTACCTGCCACTATCTAGTGAATTTAGAAATATCCTATGTAACATGGATGGGCAACAAGGACCTATTCATAATGCAGAAGTTTTGTGAAAAATACAAACTACAAGGTGTTGAAAATCTGTTCAGCCTCAACACCTACATATTGATCCAGTTAGTCAAAATTGGACAAGTCACACCTGTCTGATAGTGTTGTCATTGTTGAGCTTGCAATAATCTTTCAATGCACCCACCCAGTGGAATTTCAAGTGGATTCAAAAATTAATTTGAATTTTAAATGGAGAAAACACCTCATATTGAGCCATCTCCAGCTCCACATCATTGTTATAATTGAGGCTCACCTGGATCATGCACAAAGTGCTGGGCATTTGAGTATGCATCATCAGGCACTTCTTGATTTGTCCATTCAGCATCATTGGTTACAAGCACTGGATCCTATGGGAAGAAGCTTGGTGAGAAAATCTGGCTGACAAAACAAACTTCTCACCAGTAGAAAGGAATATGAACTTACAGCATGTACTTCAGAGTAAGACTCTTCATTCTTCATTGATACAGCAGGAGAAGCAGTGGTATGAACTGATGAATCTATATATGTTGGTGATGTGACAGCATTGCTTGGACTTCTGAAGGGCATTAAGATCAAAGCAAGTCAATGAAAAGTTTTTGACAGTAACTCAGACAATAAATGATTTGCAGATAATTTTGTTATTCTTCTAAAGCAATTTGAAAAATGACATCCATATAAAAATCTCCAGATATGGATGAATGTAACTAAAATAAGGCATCACTTCCCTTAACATCATTGATTCAGCAAATAAATAAATAAAAATACTGAAGTACCATCCCAAGTACACTGGTCACAATAGGCCCTAGACTGGCAACCAAACCCCATTTTACAGTAGGATGCTCCACCCAAATATCTGAGGAGGTTTATCACTTCTCAAAATAAAGAGAGAAGTCTGTTATCATTCATACAATAAGTTGCCATGGCACAGTGAACAGAGGGAATTAAAAAAAAAGACAGCATGTTACCAAGTTGTTATACTCATAATAAACCATTACAATATAGAAAATAAACAAAACAGCAATAGAGTATCTACTGCTTGGAGAGTGAAAACTGTCCAGAATCATCAGCCCCATTCAAGGTAGAGCTATGTATGGCTCTCCCCCCCCCTCTCCCTCTCTTCCTACATTGAAGCTTTTTCTATGCTCAGTACATGCCTTCTAAATTTTTCCTTCATTGATGGTAATAAGTATGGATGTAAGTGACAGGCTTTTACACAGCAGGAAGGCATTGAGACCAAACATGGAAGAAAATATGTCCATGGGACTCTTAAGACCATTCTAGTGTGGGTTCTTAATGCATACACTTTTCCAATATTTCATAGGTATCCATGAAGCACCATCAACAATAGTACACTAAAGTTCTGTTGTAATTTCCATGAATTTCTGAACCCCATGCTGCTGCATCACCATGCTCTGAGCTACAGCAGCACTCTTGTCACAAATGGAAAATTTGTAAATTCCTCAGATTTTTTTAATTTCAGCAATAAATCCAAAGACTGAGTGCTCAATGCCATTGAGAACAGGACTGTATGGTGGCAAGAATTTTAGGGAATGATTGGGTATCTCAGATGAGCCCTGGCATTATCCAATAGGAAAATAACTTCATGATTGGGATTAATCAGAAAGCTCAGAAAGGAATACCTGAAACTTGCCATGAGGAAGCTTGCTTCATCATACCTTCCTTCCTAGCCTTTTTAAGATCTTGGCAGCAAATATATGTAGGGTTAAGATACCATACCTGTCTCTATTGTACTTCCATACTACTCCGTTCGGAAGAAAGTGTCTCTAACGACGTTGACAATATAGAAGTTTTGAGACGTATAGTTGAGAAAAAAATACGTAATTTATCAACCTGGAAAATAACACAATTCCATATTCACTTTTCCATCTGACCATTTGATGACATACTGGAGTGTTATCTCTGGGTATGCAATTCTGCATCTGAGAAAAACCAATGGTAACTCACCGAGGGGAAGGGTAGTCAAATTGCTGACTGACTTTACTGACATAAGATGGAGAAGCAGAAGTGACAGAGTTCTGGCGACTGGAGTGCAATTGTCCTGTAGAAGTATTCTTTTCAAACACAGCACGGGCATCCACTGTTCGCTGCGATATGATGTTCCTAGTCTCCTGTATTCATGAAAGTTAATGAAAAAGTGCATTAAGATTCAATGTGACTTCGATCGACTGACAAGACTTCAAAATTCTCACTTGAGCCCTTTGCCTTCGTAGAAGGTCAGCTTGTTTCCTCCTTCCATCTTCTTCCTGTTCATCTATCTCCTTTTGCTTTTCCCATTGCACTTTTGTTTCTGTGTCTTTCTCCTTTTCCTTCTCAGCTTCACGTTGTTGCCGAATTAATTTTGTTCTCTCCTTCACTTTCTCTTCCCTTGCTTTAGCCTCTGCCAACTAGAACAAAAGCATCACCAGTTGGCTGCATTTACTCTGACTCAGTGGCACAGCCAAGATTTTCACAGGTATTTAATTTTTCTTGGAAATCCTTCTGATTTTGTGCTTATCAGTGATGCAATATAATTCTGCATTAATAAATACCTGAAGCACTAAATATTAATTATGCTATTTGAAAATAAGAGCATGTCAAACCAGACTAGAAAATGTACTAATTCCCAACCTTCTTTCCACAATTAAGTAGCTAAAGGCACAAAGAAAAAAAAAATTATATGAAAACTATAGAGAGAAACAGAAAGAAGTGAATCTTAACTTAAAATGTGGTGAGTGCAACAATTATGAACTAGATATCATTTCAGGAGCACGCAAGGCAAACAAAAAAATGCTAACTGAATGCCCAATGGTTTTTTTGTTTGGATAGCTGATTCCCAAAGAGTTTCTTTTGCAATGGAAATGTAAGCATTGCTTTACACTAAGGATATGGGTTGGCACTGCCTGAAATCCCTCTTCTTCCCTCTGACAGCACAACAGCCAGAGAGAACACAAATCACTAAGTTGTCAGATGTAAGAGCTATCATTTCCAAGTACCTCCCGTTTGGACCTCTCCTCTTCCAGCTTCATTTGTTCCTCTGTATGCCTTTTTCTTTCTTCAGCTTGCCTCTGTTTTTCTTCTTCCTCTTCCTTCTGCCAAAACTTGTCTCGTTCTGAAATACTGATCTCCCGTGCAGGAATGACACGCTTGTAACTTGTTCCCTGGAAGAGTACAATGAAGAATTCCTGCATTTTGTTTATCACATAATGGCTACCATCACTGTATATGGACCCATTATCAATTCAGAAGGCTTTTTAACCCTGTAACCACCAGAACCTAGATGGTCATGTTTTTTTTTATCTCTTTTCTCTTTGTTTCATCTCTTCACTCCCAATGAATCTCTTAAAAATGCATGGTGTAAATACTTCTGTCTTCATGAAAATACACCAAGTATCAGACTTTTCAAGTTCATGAATCTAGCCTAGACAAGTGACTACATTTTATATCAGGGTCCATTGGACTCAAAACTGTAGTTACAGAGTTGAACATGATCATAATCAAATCATAATGTAAAATAGATAATGGTATACAGTGTCCTAGAATTCATGTCACATTCTTTAATTTTATCTTTCAAGTGAATGTTATGGTATACAGCATTCTAACAACAAAAACAAAAGACAGCACTCCAATTACCAGTTGAAAGAAAATGCATGAATTATTAATGTAATAAACCAATTGAGCCAAGAAAGCAAAAAAATTAAAATTTAACAGGAATTCTGGGGGTACCTGCATAATAGAATTGTACATATGTTACTTATAATGAACTACATTGCTTCAAACATTTTTAAATGAGTGGCAATACATTTTAACTTCAAGAAATTTCAAGAATATCCAAAGAATATTACTTTATATTCAAAGCTACTTAAATAGAGAAATTTGTTGCATGGAGCATAACTCACCACAGGGGCAGAATCAGATTCATCCAGTGAGGTCTTCTCAGTAAATTTATAGACAGAACCAGTGGACTTCATGACTTTTTCCATTATAACTGAGGCCTCCACATCATCTTCAGTTCGAGCATTGATTGACACATGGCTACCTTTGAAGAATCTTGCAATAGAGGAAAAATGATTGGCACATACACCTTTACGGAACTGAGGAGCGCCTTCTCCTTGCTGAAAATGATTTAAAAAAAAGGATTCCCATATAACCCAGAAAATTTTTTCAATCTATTGATATTTGGATTGTTTTTCTCAACTAGAAGGATGAAACTATTCAATATTGATTATTTATGTAGAGAGACAAAATATAGCACTAACTTTGCATTAATATCAGTCACCCATGAAATTAGATAAATGTTTGGACTCACATATACATCAATGTCCACAAAATTAGAGATACCTTCCTAGTAGCGTGCTGGACCACCTTTGGCCCTCAAAACAGCATCAATTCGTCACGGCCCTTGTGGCACGGTGCATCGTCCTGCTGAAAGTATCCATCTGCTAAAGGAAAAATGGTGGTCATAAAGGGATGGACCCGATCGGCAACTATGTTCAGGTATGCCATACTGTCCTGATGACCTTCCAGGGGTATGAGGGGACCTAGGGTTTGCCAACAGAACACACCCCAGGAGGGGTCCATGGATTCATGTTTCCTGTGCCAGATTTGCATCCTCCCATCGGCAAAATGCAACTGGAACCGGGATTCATCTGGCCACGCAACCTTTTTCCACTCAGCAATGGTCCAGTGACGATGCTCTTTTGCCCAGAGAAGTCTTGCTTTCCTGTTTTTGTCCGACAACACTGGCACCTGAACTGGTCTTCTGCTGTTGTAGCCCATCCCCACTAAGGTGCAACGGGTTGTGTGCACGGATATGCTTTTCGGGACACCAGCATTGAATTTTGCCGTGATTTGGCGTACTGTAGCCCACCTGTTGGCCAAAACGATATGTGACAGTCTTCTCTGACCTCGAGCATCAACAAGGCTCTGCCGTCCACAGGATGCCCTTGCAGCCGTTGTTTTTCGCTCATCACACCATTCACTGTATACCTGTGAAACTTTAGCACGTGAAAAGCCTAGCAGTTTGACGGTTTCCGTGATACTCAAACCAGTTAGTCTGGCACCAATGACCGTTCCACGTTCAAAGTCACTGAGGTCTGTTGATTTGCCCATTCTGCAGTCAAAACACACACTAAAGCAGGGCTGCCTGCTTTAGGTCACAACCTAACCTAGGTTAGGTTATGCTATAGCTGCATGGAAAGTTGAATGTAGGGGTATCTCTAATTTTGTGGACATTGAGTGTATATATCCTTCCCAGGAAACTCACAAGCATCTTGGTCTAATTTCAATGGATGACAGGAGAGACTTGCCACTTTTCAAAAACTGCCCAGTGGGAGAAGTTGGACAAAACATGAGATAAATCACTCAGTCCACAAAAAACATCTTTCCCATGTGGCACAGGGTATGACTAAAAAAAAATACTCCTATGCCTTAACATGTAGGCTGCCAAGTACATCACCAGTAATGCACTTTCCATGTTAAAAATTCTCTTTGCAGGAAATGTGTTAAACTTTGTAACTCTGCTTTCTGAAGTATTTTTTAAATTCATTTAGTAAAACTGCACTGTGCATGAACTGATGTCTCAAATACCCCTTTGAAGTTCCATGAAAATTTACTTTTCCAAAGCAAACCTATCAGCAAATATTCAAATAAATTTTAAACTCAACACACTAACAGCAGGACAGTACCAAGGTGCAAAGTCAGACTGTTTGGTGACATATTATCTTCAGGAAATGTGTCAAACTATGTAAATAGCAAGTTTTATGGAAAATGCAGGTTCAGCAGAGACTTCTTGATTGAAATTTGAGTCTTTTAATTTTTTTGCCATACTCTTTATAGATGCAGATCTGGCTTGAGAGGATGAGTAGATTCTAATCAACTTACCCAATTGATGAGAACATATTTTGGAAGACTGGTTTTTGGATCCAAGACACGACAGAAGGCATACATAATCTTTCCACTACTGAAGTCCTCAGCCATTTCTTCCAGGCCACCATCTGAAAATGAAGTTTGTATTATAAGAATAATTCCAGAAAAAATGGGACCAACCCACTCAGAAGTGGCTTTCTCAATAAAGTGCTGCATAGAATCTTCTTTACCCATTAAATGCACTCACCCTGATCCCTACCACAGAGAGTAGGGATGCACTCAACTGAAAATCATTTAGAAACATAGGCCTTTTACATATCCATAGATGCAGTCATCACAGAATGAGAATGGATGTGGGGAAGTGGCCTACTGTTCCACATTATCAATCAATTCTTGGAGCAGTCAGTTTGCAATGCTATGAGAGACAAGGAAGTAGCATGCCACTGAATGCACTAACAATAGAATACCCTCAGACATGTGCATGAGTTGTGTGACAATGTTGGTGGTTGGTGGCTGAGACAAGAAAAAAATGGTCCCAAAGGCAATGTTGGACCAAGTGCTTTTAAAAGTAAGTAGTTTCGGTCATAATTACAATGATAGAATTTTTTTTATATAATTAAGCATGAGTTGCAGTTGAATCTGACTGTAAATATTCTCCATTAAGAATTATGGTTGAAGTTACATTTTTGAGCTTCGATCCTTACATCTGATGCCTAACTTCAGCCTGTTGGAGTTTGGTAAGCTTCAGAATAATTGATAATAAGCAACTTAGGATCTATACAAAGTCCACCCTTGCTGCATATCATGCATCATGCAGAATTGATGGCCAAAAGGTGAATGAAAAGATAGGTGATAAAAAGAGTGGGAAACAGTGAAAAATTTCCCAGAGAGGATATAGCATGGGCAGTAGTAGGTTCTTCTCTGTCAACAGATGACCCACTGGCTTTTTGGGGAGTATCTTCATAGCAGCAGAGTGGCACACATGCCATTCTGAGAGCCACAACCAGGAAATAAGGATTTAGAGTGCCATAAAAATCAGGCACAAAATGGTGGCCATGCAGGAAAACATTCACAATGACCAAAGAAAGAATGCAGTGATGAAAAGCTTTGAAGGGGTCAAAATGATTGAAGCCACTCAGAGTGGGATGAAATGGCATATGGAGGGGAATGCCTTTGTTTAACAGCAGATAAATGTTATTTTATATGAAAGGATGCTTGTTATATGGGCACTGAGTTAACTCATGTGTTTAAGTCTAACGTTCAGCCAGTAAGTTTGGCCTAAATGTTGCTCCAGCATTGGGTTTTCAAAATGTTGATCTCGGCCCCGGCCTCCTTACTGAAATCTTAAGTACTGGCATGACTTAACGTTAGGCCAAGAACTTCTAGCATTTAGTATAGATGCACATGACTTTAAGATCGTGTTAACATACCTCCTTTAGAGACGAACTTCAGGGTATTGGTCTGACCCTCGTATCCAAAGAGGGCCCAATTTGTGCTGCCGTTGCTGACAACCTCTTTCCAAGCCCCGATAAGGGCGTCACGATTCTTGTCCAAGTCCACGGCCATGACTGCGTTTAATCAGAAGAAGACCCTGAGCCTACGCCGAAATAAGCAAAAGCCCGATGAAAGGCAAGTCACAGATCACGAAGACCCAGCTCTTCGTCGAGAGATAAGGCCTTTCCAAATCCACAGGCCTTTCCCTCATGCACGCATGCAGGAGGCCATGATAACAGCTATGACTGGGGGTCCACGGTTGGTGGATAAGGAGGCTCCCTAGCGGACAGCATTCAGCAATCACCATGGAAAGAGAAAAAAAAAGCTATCTTTGCAGGAGAAAAAGTATGAGAAAGGAAGGCGTCCCATTGTTTGCATCCTACACGGCGGATGTTCTCACATCCTGACCAAGTTCAATGACGCACCGGCGACAGCCCTTCCTTGACACAGGTTCCGAGGATACGTAATGATATCCCAACCGTTGGGAGTTACTACGGCTCAATTGTCGTATCTATTTTACGCAAGATTATATAACGTACGCTGATAATCTTGCGACGACATATCAAGGTCATGAAATAGCAATGTGTCGTTCGACTCTACCTGTTCGTAATCCAATGACAATGAAGCATTATCCTTGAGCGCAACAAAGCGTGGCGCATGGCTTAAAAACCCAAAGCAGTCTTTACCGTTTCTTCATTGTTCGTTTCGTATTCTTGCACCATAAAGGTACATATGGAGCGATGATTCCGCCCTGATGACTCCGACTCGGTCATGCGGGTCCAGTGACCAGTTTTCGGGGAAACAACGCCCCAAAGCATGACGTCTGCCACGTTTGGAATGACCGATTCACTCTCGACTCTTCCAGCAGCAGTTGCCGTCCCGAAGACAATGGCGTTGTGAGTCGCCAAAGGAGTCTTTGTCAAGCAGACGAGAAGCTCTGCGGGGTGTCCCGCAATGATGGACCCCCTGCTGTGTAGAACAGCCTGGAATACATGAGAAAACTAATGCTGCAATTTCAAACAGAACTATATCCTACTTCTTTCTGTTCCAATGTGATTTTATGAGCTTGAATGGTAGGCGCTGCTTCCATGGGTATACAGGATCCAAGCAAGAACTTTTAAAGAAGCGTGTGATGCCATGGCATTTCATTTCTCTATCCTGGGTTGCACAAAGACCGGGACGTAGTGAGTGCCCAGCAAACAGTAGCGTTGTGGAAACGTTCAGCAAGAGTCAAGACAATGTCATCAACGTTTGAAGGTCCAAGTCAAACGCTGCATGAATATTTTAGCAGCGTTATGGCACTATGATATCTTCTTAAATTGCATTTGTGAATAATATTTCTGGTAACATCATGGAGCATGCCAGTCCAATAGGGGATACCTTTTTCTTTCAAGAAACGATCAAGAACTTATTCAGTGTTACTAACTAACGTTGACGGAATGTTAATGCTTCGACGTTTAGCAGTGTCATTTATCAGGGATACTAGGAACGTGTCGTAAGATGAAAACTGCGAAGTGCCACGAAATATTGAATAATGTTCAACCACTAGATTTCTCTAGTGGCCTGGGCCACTAGAAAAAGGCTCCAGCCACTGGGCCACTCGAGGCTCGTGCTCGAGTGGCCCAGTGCGAGTGCGAGTACGAGCCTCGCTTTTCGCACTGTACACTAAAGTGTATTTCCTTCTTTCCATGGAATCATTTCTCACAGGAATGTTTTGTACCTCGCCGTGTGTCTCTCCTAGTCTCATTACTGCAGCCGATAAAATCTGACACTTTATCACTTAATACCCCATATTCGAGACAGAATCAGGGAGCCCAGACGATAAAAAAGCTCATATTCCTTATGAGAACACATTGCATTATAGGATTTCCTCCCCAAACAGTGTACAGCATTCCGCTTCATCCCACCTCATATCCTTCTCTGTATTGGGCGTACCTTGTAAAAAAAGGTCATTGAAAAAAAAAAAACTAAATTCAGATAAAGAGATTTCCTCCAGGGGAGGAAAGGGATTTGGGTACATCGCAGAGCAGGATAGGGAGGACTGTTCAATGAAAAGTATCAATACTATATAATTAGTAGATGTAAATTCCTTGATCTTCGATTTTGACCCAGTACTAGGGGTGCTACTTCAAACAATTTGAAACAAATAATGTTGAATCAACACTGAATAAACGTTCGGAACGTAACGTAGGCTTGTTTGCCGAGGTGAGCGTTCCGATATGCGACATCACAATTTTGGCCCAACGATCAGCCAGTGTTGAATTTCAACGTTCATCCGAGTATTGCGATCAGGATTGCCCAAAGGTTTCCAGGGGTCAGGGACAAAACCATACTGGAGACCCCTTGGGGTCCCCCTTGAGGTCCTTTGGAGGCCCCCCTTGGGACCCTTTGATACGTGGGACCCGGGGCAATTGACCCCTTTGCCCCCGTCCCCCTCTGGGCGGCCCTGATTGCTATAAGCGACATTGAAATATCGACTTAATGTTAGATGCAACGCCACCACAACGGTGGGAAGGTTCATCATTAACGTTCACTAACGTCCTACGGCCGCTGCGCTGGCCGTCTAATGGGCGGAAATTTGAAAATGATAAAGATATGAAGCAGTTCGGCTCAAACCAAACATTAAATTTTTTAAAACAAACCTTGAGAAGTTCGAAGGTGTTGCCGCCCAGCTAATTTTATTATTATCGAGACCACACCTCGCAAATAAATCACGAGTGAAGGAATGAATCATGAATGGAAAAGACCATTTCAAATTCGAAAAGCGACAAATGGGAAATAATTTATTATTAAAAATGTTATGGCCTAGCCTACGGACTAGAATGACATAGCATCGTCGGCCATGCGTGATGAATCGATGGCCGCGGATGGGTGACAACCATTTACCACTGCTTTCGGTCTCTTTCAACATTTATGACTTAGCCTATGGCCTAGAATGGCAGAGCCTTGTAGGCCTCGCGCGTCACACCTAACGCGCACACCCCAACACCTGCCACCACAACTTTCGGTCTCTTTCAATTAAAGTATTAGATTGAAAGTATTAAAGTATTAGATAGAACGCTGATTGAATGTTCGCTTGTTTGCTGGGTTCCTGTCTATGGTATTGAAGGCTGAGCTGTAATTAGGAAAGAGACTCCTAACAAAGGTGGTTGCCCTCTTGTCAAGAAACTGGGCGATTGTAGTGCTCAGAGAGGCAATTGCATCTGCTGTGGACATCTTAGGCCTGTATGCAAACTGACAGGAATACTGGACGGTATCAGCAAATAATCGAATCTGTTCCAAGTACATCGTCATGGTTACAAAAGAAAAACCTAACCGAACGGCCCGACTGAGAGTGCAGTGGCGACGGGGAGGGGGAGTGGTTCAACCCAAAACTTTTTTACCGCTCCCGTACTTACCGTACCGTACGACCATAGGTCGACTTTTATCGCTGCTCGTATCAGTCTTCGCTAGATGTCGCTAGGGTAGAAACAGCCTCACAGCCCTTTTTAGGGTTCAGTCATCCCGAAATCTCTGTGGGTGAGATGTGAGATGGATCTCTTCACTCTCTCTTGGAGCTTGATAAATGTCTCTCACATTCCAATCGTGGAGGGAAAGGACTTCGATTATTCGCCTGGCCATAGCTGAGGATCGTGGCTTCGCATTTGGTGGGCCTTGCCTGGGGTCGACCATGGCGCTCTTGCCCTTTGTTCGTGGGAATCGCCGATTCGCCGGCAGGATTAAATGAACAGAGGCGTAATGTTAATTGGATCTTCGGTAGCGGTTTCGGCACAAAATTTAATATTGAAGTAAAATCATCCAGTATAGAGAGCAGGGTGCTTCCTCAATGTAGCATGTTTGGCTTTGATTGGATTGAATAATTAAGGAACACCATCTGATCATTTTACAAGCTCATTTTATTCATCAGGAGGTGGATGTTCCGCTTTTCCGGAAGGGGGGGGGGGGGGGGTGGTGACACGAGGGGCACATGGTCCATTTTTCTTATGCCTCAAGAATTTAGTTGCTCTGCAAACTTCCCAAAAACCTGGTGATGTATTGTTTAATATGTTCCTCGATATTCCCCATTAGTAAAACTTCGCAGGAGTAAGGGCCGGGAGTTCAATCTCCTGAATCCCCCCCCCCCTTGATATATCCCTAGTGTCGGATAAGGATTCGATTTGAAGCTATTGGGCGATTCCATGTTGACGAACACGACAGATACAGTCAGGCTTATTGTGTTTCCATTCGATTTATTTTTGCATAATTTTTGTTTGTTGGTGGAATGACTTTGTCCGCTGGGATTGCCTTCAGAGATAGAGATTAAATAATAAAGCTTCCCAGCACTGGGCTTCTGTGTGGCCGACATGATCCCGAAAGGGCGCAGTTTCAGAACCTTTATAGTCTATTAATAGTTGCAGTCCCCTGTCAAATGGCATGGTATCCTTAGTCAAATTCAGTGGTAAAAACTCTTGCATATATGCCCAGATTCTAACTTACGGAGTAAAAAAATCCGAAGTGGTTGCTGGCTTTTCGTACCAGCTTTTTATAGTCGCATAACGGACGTGACATGAATGTTACGGGTGTGACATGTTCTGAGTTCGTGACTTAGCAAAGTGAAGCAAAGGTATATTTCTTGGAAAAGGATCATTTTAGTTCCAAGACAAGATAACGGGGCGAAAGAAAAACTTCCAATCTAGATGGAAAACAAATCTCAGGCAAATTAGGCGTTTGCGAATACGGAACCTTTTACGAACCCAATATCTGTTTACAGTGCGTTTTGTGGAATCGTTGGAAGGCCTTGCATGCGTTCTCATTTCACATGAAGTACTTCCTTCTTTGCCGCCGTATCTTTACAGCTCACTCGAATAACAAACGATAGCGGCATTTCCTCGCGCACATGGTTCGAAAGCCGCATCACCGACGGAGCGACTCTAACTGCGCGGTTTTCTTGTCGTGGGTGCCGCTACGACTGATTCAGGATTCCAAACGAACGAGGCAGTCATCCAAAGCCCGTTTGAGTTTTCCCGAGGAGAAAAAAAAAGGAGATGCTTATCGACATTGAGCAATCGGATGAGATTATTCCACCATAGCAACATGCCAAGGCAGCCACTTTTTTTTTCCACGGTTGCTTTTTGGAACCGGCCAATAGCTGCATTCTTCACGAACCAGGAATTTTTCGAATCGGGACAGGGCCATGTCCATCGCAGTCCAAGTGTTACATCTGCCACGCATTTGCGCAGGACTTTGATCGCTCGGACTTAAGAAGTTTCTCTCTCGTATCGAGTCCATGGCTGGGAAAATTGATAGCATTGATAACACGCAGTGTCAATATTGTGGCGCCACGCAACGCGAGAAAAACGAATAGAAATGGGAAAAACACTGATAAATAAGACAGCCCATGATTGTTTCCTTCCGCTCTATCTCAAAGCCAACCTGATCTGTTCATAGTCTCAGATGAAGATAAGGTTCTGGGACGGAAAGTCGAAAAAATCTTTGCCGAACAGCAGAGAATGTCGATGCCGTGAAATTTCGAAGGGGAGAATGGGAGAGAGTAAAATTCTCTAACCATGACATGGTGAAACAGAAAATGTCATAAAACGTCGAAATTGCTTGCCTAGAGCTAACGCCATTCGCTTCGCAATTAGAGTTAAGGTGGGTTCTTGTACTCCCTTTTAGCCCTAAAAGACCTTTTAGGTCCATTGCCAGCATAGGACTAAAAGCCCGTTAGCAGCTAAAAGGGAGTGTAAGAACCCACCCTTAGCCTTTATCCCTTGTTCAAGCCTTCATATTGAATAAATTTTTGCCATGACCTCTTTTAATGGAATTCCCATATTGAAATTGACTCACTTCTCTGAAAATACAAGATTGCAATCTTTCTGAGCAGCTGATATACTGCACATCAGTTACTATGGTTGCGACTTCGGCGCTCCATTACCCTGGTTAGTGATTAATTCACTTTTTTTCAAATTGGGAAAAACATATTTAAAGTACGTCCTCATTGAAAAACGTGACATACGGGGACGAAAGTCTTGATTTTTATCAAAATCATTACTTCTATTATTTCTAGTGTGCCTAACTGAAATCTTTTCATGTGCCCCACTTTGTAAGGGT